TCTTTTTTTCTTTTACATTGATTGATATGTTATACAAAGAGATAGTCTTTTTTTTTTTTTTCTTTTAAATCCCTTTCCATCTATTTCAATATTTGAATATGAGATATTCAATCAACATAAAACTTAAAATTTTAACCATTGAGATGTTTGTTAAAAAACCATTTTCTTGCTTTTAATTGCCCATCTCTTTCTCTTAAATTTGGTAACGTTAGTCAAATGGTCTTGACATTGTGCTTGCTAAACTTAAATGGAGAATTCTAATAATTACTCACGTGACTTTTTTCCGGTTTGGATTATATAAGTGTATTAAGTTAGTTTATGTATAATTTAAACTAATAATTTTTCTTAGTACAATTTTAAGGTTTAAATTTTAGTCCATTAAATTTAAAGAAACTAACAAAAAATTTATAAAAAAATATTTTGTAATCAAAATCATCCAAACTAATACCAAATTGCAATCCCTCCTTCAATCCATGAATTTGAGTTGCAATTCACACGGTCTTAAATTGTAAAACAGGGAAAGCAATAATTAGACAAAACAAAACATAAAAAGTGGAAGAGGGGGGAGGGGTGTGGAGAACGTGGTCCGCTACGTGGGAGGCGAGTTTTGACATTTGGGCAGAAAATGTTGGACCTAGTCATACGCGAAAGAGTCCATTGACTCAGTGAAGATGATAAGGCACATCAATGGCAATCACCGTCACATCAAGTGAAACCTTACCTAGGTCCACTCAGATAATAGAATCTAAGCTAATAAGCTTCAATTTGCTTACCAACTCACATCACAATCACCAACCTCATTCCAACAAAAAAAGTAGACCGCTACATAGGGACGGTAAAGGATGCATAAATATTATAATTTTTTTCATACATAATTACTTATAATATTTTACCATGAGTTTCATGTTCTAATGGTTATATATCTCGTTCTAAAATGTATCCCCAAGTCTAGAATTGTAATTCAAATCCTTTTCTCTAAAAGTGTAATCTATTTAAAAAAAGTTTAGTTATAATATTTTTAAAAAATATTAATTTATTTATAAATAAATTTTA